AGAGAGAGGGAGGGACTGAGCCAGGTTGGATGTGTTTGTGAGTGCAGAATTTTGTAGATTTGTGTTCCCATCACTATGTGTGTCACGTGTGTATTTGTGCAGATAGCAGTCTTTTTGTTTATGCCACTCTTGTAGGGGGTTTTTTTTTGAGGGAGTGTTTGTGTGTGTACTCCTAGCAGTATTTACCTTTGTGGGTTTAAGGGGGACAGGATTTGTGGATGCTTGTTGGGGCATTTGGTGGAGGCCCACTTCTTTCCCTGTTCCCGTCCAGGCCTAGCACACTGTCCCCCAGTCTCTAGGGGGAGGGTGATATGGCTGGGGACAGGGAATTGACAGATGTTTGTCACCAGGTGGGGCATTGACCCATAAGCTGGGCCTCTGAAAAGGAGTCCTCAAATCGGGCAACTTCTGCCTGACGGTGCAGTGCCTCCATCCTCCAGCTTGCCGAGGGACAGGTGTCTACACAGCACAGCGGTGTGGCTGCTAGGAGCCAGGTTTGGCCAGAAACAAGCAGGATGGATTTCGCCGGGTCTCCCAGACCCCGTTGGGAGAGCGCCAGGAGCCCCAAAGGAAACTAGTTTCTTGCAGTGCTTGGCCCTGCCTCCTGGGGCATGAAGGGTCCTTGAGAGAAACAAGGACCCGTGAGGGAGAGGCACCCAGGCTGAAGTGAGAGTGAATTGCGCTGTCTGCTGGGTCTTTGTCTCACTGGGGTTTAAGCGGTGAGCTTAAACCCGTTTTCTTCACGTTTGTTTTCCTTTCTGTCTTCCTTTCTTTCTTGATGTTCAGACTCTGTTCTCTTTCCGTTTCCCTGTCCCTCTGTTTTTCCATCACTTTCTCTCTTGATTGCTCCCTCTGCCTCTCTGCTGGGTGTCCAAATCTAGCATCCGGCTCCTCGCTGCAATTAGCGAGTCTCATTGTGCACCGTACGGATTTTGGGGTGCCGGAGGGAAGACTCAAATACAGGCATTAGAAGCCCCCATCTGATGGCCTTCTCCCCTGCTCTGGACTCAGCACACTGAGCCCACCCTCCCTGAACCCCCGACTAGGTGTCTTCCCAGTTCCGGCTTTGCCCACTCTGCGGGCTACTCGGATGGAGCCTTGTGTGTTGGCTCCATCTCAGACAAACCCACCTGCCCTCAACTCCTGGATGGCTTAAATGCCAATGCACAGCCAGGCCCAAGCAGCCGTGGTGCCGGGCCAGAGAGCTAGCAGGAATGGGGGCAGTCTCAGGGAGCAGCTTTGGGTCTCCGGGAGCCTGGATGTGTTGAATCACCGGGGGCTGAATGCCTCATTGCTGGAGATGAAGGCCCTGCTTCCAGAAGCCAAGGTCTGGCCTTCTGCCTTCTACAGCTGAATGTACCCATCCTGTTCAGGTCACAGGCCCCTTGGAGTCACCCTGGGGGGCTCTGTACAGTTGAACCCCAGTCCAAAAGCCCCATCACCTCAGCCCAGCTGCAGGGGAGCCTGTTTGGCCTTCACCAGCCCTCCGCCTTCCAGGGCGCACAGCATCCGAAAAAACGCCAGCAGACCAACTATTAGACGAATTATCCCGCCCTAACAGCGCTAACAGATGGCGACCAGGCAGCGAAATCCCCTCCTATATGTAACTAATAAACCGCTTGTGTCTTAACAGGGTAATGCATGGAGACGCAATGTCACTTATACAAGATGTTGATGGAATTTACTATATAAAAATCTTCCTCCTAGAGTAGAGAGTATCAACATTACAACTCGACAGACGGCGGCGGGATAAGTAAAACAGACAAAAGACAAACAAGATAATAATCTGTTTCCAATCACTTAAGCCCTGTAGAGTTAGTAATACGCGGTTTGCATATTCCCCCTTGAGTTCGGTAATTAATTACCGGCGAGGAGGCACAGACCCGCCTGGGGTGGGAGTTTTGAGGCGCGCTGAGCTGAGGCTTGGAGGGGGCTTGAGGGGTGG